AATTTTTAAGCTTAACTTTCATAAAAGTTACCTTGTAAATTTTAGAATACTAACTTTTTGTGGTCCTGTTTACAATATATGTTTTTGCTTAAGAGAAGGCCTTGGGGAATTCTGTTCACTTTTAAGGGCTTTTTCTTACATAGCTTATGTTCATCATTTTAGGATTGAAACAGACATTAGAAAAGACAGCAAGACTGTCTGTGTAGTGCCGGGCATTTACGTGACCTTGTTCCCTGCACCCTGTGCTGGCAGTACCCAAGCCAGCTGTATGCCTGAAGCCATAAGACTGTAGGACTTTGTCCGTGCTTGTAAGACCATCAAACAGTGGATTAAGGTTAAGGTACTGGCAAAGCTTAGTGTGTGGTTTTCAGCCTGATGGTGTAGTTATGCCTTCAGATTAATTGACTGCAAGCAGAAATATGAACACCAGAAATCACTCAACTGGTGAACTGAAATTATGGTTCAGTGCTGAAGCGGCATGAATAATCCTCTTCCCTATCTCAGATGTTTGCCCAGTTTGTGATGGACATCGCTTTCTTTTCTGTCTGAAAAGCATTCTTATAGTCTACTGTAACATGTTCACAGAAAATTCACTTTAGGAAAAGAGAATAAAATATATTCTATTTTATTAAATTATATATTTTATTTTATTAAGTATAAAAAATAAAAAATAAGGAAAGCTTTGTAAGACAAAAGTTTGGTTGGAGACTTATATGAGAAAAAATAGAAGAGCTTTATATCATCTCCTTATTTGTCTGGAGCCATTTCACAAGAAATAGGTTTGAATCTGGGGTTCTGGAAGCGATACAAGTTAAGAACGGTATTCTGTTCAGTGGTAGACAAACACAAGAAAAGGGATGGTACAAAAAATTTGAAAGTATATAAAATAAAACTTTACAAAAATCTATGTGTTCACCATTCTGAAGTATTCTGTTTGACACAGAGGTCGTTGTATAACGCTAAAAGGAAAATAAAAATTCCCTTTGTTTTACGTCAATTTGAATCAGCTCTCAGGAGTTATGTCTTTTTAATTTTCACTTCATAATGAATAATGCCATTTGATTATAAAATGCGATAACTGAAAAAAAATTGTGGAAAACGGTTTTTAATAGCATATAAATACTTAGATAGGGACTATCGTTAGATCATTTTAGCATAGCGTTGTTTGGTTTCCTGAACTCTTGCTGTACATGTTTGTATTAGTCAATGAAAAGGAAAATGCAACAGTTAGCCCAAGGGTTTTGTTGTTTGGTATAAGTCTTAATTTTAATTTGTCAGTAGATCCAATGTATTTGTCACTGTGGTTTCAGCTGAATCTAAAGTGAACAAAAGCCGCACTGGGAGTCTAATGGAGGAATAAAATTTCCTTTAAAAAAAAAAATGTTTCTCTGCAACTTTCAGAAAAGAAGTGCTGATCTCTTCCTTTAAAATGTGTCTGTGGCTTCAGAAGAAATAACTTCTTTCTGTTGGTTTAGTTCATTTTCTTCTTCTTTTCCCAAAGTTAACTTAATTAATGTTTGTGATTTATTGAGTTTTAAAGATGCTAACACTTAAAGTTGATCCTTCTTCTTTTCAGCTTCTGTAACTGAACTCAACTTACAATTCTTTTCACCTATTTTCTTTTCAATAATCACAGGTGTTTAACTATTACATTTAGAACATAGTAAGCTTCTGTGTCTGTTCTAGAACTTAGTATTTATAGAGATAGAGGAAACAAACAGTATTTACCTGTTTGATTATTTCAATGAAGGAGCATATTTGGAAATAAAGCATAGCAATGGGAATATTTATTCCTGATTTTTTTTTATGATTACTCAAGGAAATTATGTTGTACTTCCTAATATTGTTACTGCATTATTTTCTCCTTATGCAGGAGAAAGAGAGACCCTTAGTTCTTTTGATCTTTCTTTCCTTTTTTTTTAATCAAAGATACTAAAAGGAAAAAAAAAAAAGAACTTGCTGCATGTGGCTGAACTCTCAGTAGGAGGGGTGGCGGATGGTCCCAGGAAGCCTAGCAGATAAGTCCCTCTGTGATAGATGGGCCTCAATCCCTTACATGGTAGCTACAAGTAAGTTAGAAGTTAGTGAGTTCACAGGAATTTTCATCATACTTCTTCACAGCCATTGAGTTTTTAATTGGTTGGGTTTGATGTAACTGAAGTTGTCATTTGATTGAAAAATCTATGTAGCTATAGGGGATATAATGACAAAGTATACGCCAGGGGAATTTTCTTACAGATCTTTCAAGCAGTTCCCCACTTCCCCTTATGTTGATGTTTTCTGTTAAAAAAAAGCACAAGAAAGATACTAAGAAAGATAATATCTTCCCAATGAAAAATTATATATATATTGAATTAGTACAGTAGTTGTGTCAGTAATTTGATGTGGTGGCAAAGTGTCTAGAGCTATGCTGGTGGTAATTGATGCAAACAAAAATAGATTTTTTTGACCTATAGCTTTTACAAAGAAATAACAAACCTGGAATGAAAGTATTTTTCAACTGCTACTGTCTTTAGCTTGTTAAGTTATGCTAGCTATTCTTCCATGTGCAATTTAATTAGCACAGAGCTGATGTCCCCTTGTATTTTTTTTTCCTAATATATCTTGCTATGTTTACACATATGCAAATAGTAATTTTTTAAATGGCATATTTTTATTAAAGTGCATTTTCTGAATAATGTAGATCTTTGCTCTCTGGAGCTATTAGGGACAGCAGCATTTTAGCTCCCTAGTAGTGAGGGAAGCCAAAAAGAGAAAGTAAACACATACATGCATACATTGGCACACCAAAATCATGACATGCTGGGGGAATATAGGAGAGAACCCTGAAGAAATAACCTTTCTGCAGCAGTGCTTTTCTATGGCTGGCTACCTCCAATAGAAACATAGAACAAACATACCCTGTGACAGATGAACTGAAGCTGTGATGCAGTGGGACTGAAGAAAATTAGCTATTTGAAAATAGCACAACTTTAGAGAAAACTAACTGTATCATAGCAAGGGCATAGGAGATAGGAAAAGTCTTCTTAGCTGTATAATCTTTAGACAATTTCTGTATATTACTAAACACACAATATGCTAGCCTTGCTAAATGTTGCAGATTACTTAGCATAAATTCTTTTGAATGAATGCATTTTATTTTTAAAAAGAGATACTTAGGTTGCTGCTTTACATTAAGAGATTTTAGTGCTTCCATTAATTTAATATGGACTTACAGATTATGTCTTCATTCTGAAATATGAGGTATCTGGAATAAAACTTGTATTTAGCATCATATTTCAATGAGAGGACAGAGTATTATCATTTGGGAAAAAATTCACTTGCATATTATTAGTATAACCATTTAAGGGGGCACAGGAAGGCTTTTAAATGGATGATGCATTAGAGGAGGAATACTACTGTTGTTATTTCTGTCCAGCTGGAAATCTAACATCACAGAGGTACATGTATTTATAGTTTATAAAGTCTGTCTTCAAATACAAGCATGGAGCTGGAAATATCAGTTACTAATTGGTTGATTAGATTCTGGAGAATAGAAAAGAAATCTGCAGAGAGCCACATCTACAGATTATATTTCCAGATAGGTGGGTTAGTCAATGCAACTATTTACTAATCTACACACTTTATAATCAGGAGTAATTATAACTCCTCAAAGTTGGGCATATGACTATACTTGGGAAAAATGTATTGCAGATAAGGTTGTTGTTTACAGAATTGTCAAAATGGAGTAATGGAACAGAAAGGCTGGATCACATAGGAAATGCAAATCGGAGATGCTGGGGTGGCAAAGGAAAATAATTAAATGGACATGAGGCATAAGAATGTTTTGAGGGAGCAGGGACCAGATGTTAGGTATGACAGTGAATCAGGAGGAAGAGAATAAGATTACTTTAGTATAGCCAGGCATGAAAAGCAGTATAAGAATTCATGCAGTTGGAAGATGAAAACAAAGAATTGTTCTCAAGTTGGTTGTAGGAGCCAAAAGTCAATTGGAGGCTTATCTACCTGAAACTAATATCCTGTGTCCAGCACAGTTTGGATTCATGCCAAGAAGCAGAACTGAAATTATTTTACAGATATGGAGGGGTTTTCTCTCGTGACTTGGAAAAGACCAGAAGTCCAGTCTTGTTCACTATTGGACACTGCTAATTATTTTGTCTGGGAGAGGTATCCAGCATTTAGTATGCTGCAGTGAAGGGGCATTGAAACCTCTGCATAGGAAACTCAAAACTTGCACCAAATAATGAAGTGTGTTTCCCTATTATACAGACTGCTGTGTTTTCACTGTTCCCTGCATTAACCTTCCCTAGAAGACTGGATCGGATTGAAGTTTCTACCCATTAGGCTTGAGGTGTTCATTACTCTGGGTTCACAGCATCAATAGATAAAGCTCTGGTATTGACAACTGTGACTGACAGCTCCCCTCCTCTGCCCAGTGTTACTTGCTTTAGTAATTGCAAAAGGGAGAAACTGAGCTCTCTCAGGGGCTGGCTTAAGCCAGTTGGACACCTGCTTCAGAAATTAAAACTATGCCATTCAGTGAGAAGAGTATATTTCTTTGACTTTGATTTTATTTTTTTTTTCCAGGAGCATAACTGTGTATAAAAGGAAATGTCTCTCTCTGTGCTTTTCTCTCACTTACAAAGAGTTTGAAATAATAAACAGACATAATGTTGGGGACATTGTTTAATGAGCTTCTAGTGGGTGTACTTATGCAATGATGTTAAACCCATTTTTGGCATATTTTAAGAAAAGCATCATTTGATGGCAGAACAAGTATATACCTTGAGGAACGTTCCATGATTTTTGTGTAGAGAAGGAATGTTTCAGATACAGCAAGTATTTTCCTCTACAGTAAGTGATTGAAATATTGTGTTACATTCAGTAAGACAACATTGTTGAAATACTGCTAAATATATTCAAAATAGATATGAATAGTAATACTTATACCTACATATATTTATATATATAAAAATAATGTGTATATATTTGTCTTTCAGGGGTTGATAAGCTGATCCGTCATTTACACAAACACAACATACCCATAGCAGTTGCCACCAGCTCAGCCGAAGTGACATTTCAGATGAAAACAGCCAGACACAAAGATTTCTTTGGTCTTTTTCATCATATTGTGTTGGGAGATGACCCCGAGGTGAAGTGTGGCAAGCCACAGCCTGATGCATTTCTAGTTTGTGCAAAGAGATTTCACCCTCCTGCACCTCCAGAGAAGGTAAGAAGGGGAAGGAACAAATTAACTGCAAAGTTAGGAATATTCTGTTCGGGCTATATTTGGAATTTTTTTTTTTTAACGTGATAAATACTTAGATTAAGATTTAATATAAAAATCAGCAACCTCTGTTTTCAAAGATGTTTATACTGTTGAAGCAAGACATTGTTGGAAAGCATCATTTCCCCCCACTATGTCTAACGTTTGTAAAGCAGATTGCTCTGATTTACTACACGTTAGTGTGCAGTAATAGGAAAGTGTAATGATTTTCTGCTCTATGCATAAATCTGCAAACTTAACTTCACGACTCAAAGTTTGGAATCAGTTATTTAAACATAAATCAGTTTATTTTTCATATATTCATGGCTGATTCACCTCTTAAGTGTCTAAACATTAAAGATACTTCTTTGTAAAGAGGGCATATATTTTTTCTAAGCCATCTCTTTCCTCTTGCATTCTAAATCTCTGAGATCATAATTCTTGTTTTCTGATTTAAAACCAATCAATTCAACCAATCTTTATCAAATAGTGTAGGTGTTTAGTTTCTCTCTCCAATATATAACTTTTCAACTTGATTCTGCAATAAAAATTTGCAGGGAGATAATTTGAAAGATAAATTGAGACTTAGTTAAAATGTTTTTGCTTTTATTTTAAATTAAATTGCCTTTCTCCTTAAAATACTTTTCTCACTTCTTGTCTGTCCTGAGTGGAACGTAAGTTCTGAAGTTTTGGGAGTTTTATTACTGCAGAAAAATGCATTACATACTAATTTTTAAGGAATAACTTTAGGTGGATTAGACTGTGATTACTGTTTTCTCAGTGGGAATATTGAGGAAAAAATGGTTACACAAATAAATATGAAATGATTAGCTAAGATTCTTTAGCCTTCCATACTTCAAGTTCCCACACAGGGTCTAAGTGGTTTTTGTGTTGCCTGGGAATACAAAGTGAAGTAAGTTCGATGCAATGTGGCATACTGTGAACAGTGTTAACCAATCTGGTTTTGGTTTGTTTTTTTCTGTTGTAAGTTCTCTTGATATTCTGTGTATGTGCATCAACTTAATTTGGAAACTTAGATGTTCAGAAAAGATACACCAAATGTACATAATCATGTTCATGAAGATGGTGGTTGTATGGACATGTTAGGTACTTGTCTGAGTATCACAGAATGGCAAGTAGGCCTTTTATATATGGTAACATGTGAGGCTGTAAATCTCACCTTAGAGTCAAGTAGTGGTGAATTTTGAACATGTTAATAACTCAATTGAGAGCAAATATTGGGAAACAGCCCAAGGTTCTGGAGGGAGTAAGAGGGGAGTTGAAAACAAGCTTAAACCACAACTTAATGTTGCTTTCATATAAAATTATTCTTTCTTGCTTAGCTATATGTCTAAGGAATAAAAAATCAGGTTATGTTCCTGTAATGTTGTATGGTGTGTTTTTCATGAGAGGTGCATAATGCGTACTTTTCAATTGGATGGAGGTGTGGCTGTAAGCTGTTCTGTAATTCTGAAAATAAAAGAGCATAAAGTAGTGAGAATTTATATAGAGCTGGGTCGTAACTGGTATCGTATCTGAAGGAGAGGTAAGGAAATTGAATGTCAGCTGTGTTAATGACAAATTAAACTATTATTTCATGTGAGGAGCCTAATAGTAATATCCAGAGGGACAGCTTTCCCAAAGCTCAACAACCACGAAAAAAACAGTGACGGTGTGCTGTAGATATTTTTATTTATTCAGCAGTAAGTAGCCGTAGCTGTGTTAACGATAGAAAAATATTTGAGGATAATAGTAGCATCTGTATTACGCTTCATAATTTTAAACTTTAAAGGTATGTTAGACAAACAAAATTTCAGAGCATTTGTCGTAGTTTTGTATAGTTAATTTATTTAATCTTTCTTTGAAGAACAGCGTAAGTGTTTGAACCCATGCTTTTCCTTTATATGAAGTTTAACAGCAGACTTCCTTTAGTGCAGATAAATCAGCTGAGCTTTTTTTGTCACATCTACAGAAGTCACAAATGTTGAAGTGTGGGAATTTAGCACAAGCACGGAACTCCCAAGAAGAAAATCAAAACAGTATGTGTGAAACTATCTGAAACATTCATGACCAATTGCAGTGTAGTGATGGCATCTGCAGTGTTTAGTCCCAAGCGGTGAACTAGTAGAACTAAAGGTTTGGATTTCATGCTAAAAATCAGTAACATGCAAGTTTACAGCAAAATATCAGGAGGTATAGGCAGTGTCTGCATAAGCAAGTAATTGGACTCAAGAGAAAAGTATTTGGTGCTTAGTCCCACACATCTATGCTGTATGTGATTTGGGTGTTTTCTGTTGGATTAGATTTACTCTGATCCCTGGCTGAAAGCTGTATAAGGTTCTTTGGAGCTTTATGTCCCACTGGAGCATTGGCGATTGCTTGATACACACCTGCAGAGGACTTCCACTTCAGCACCCTGTGAAAGCAACCCCTAGTACACACCAAAACTACTTGGTAGCATCTGAGGACTGTCAGTTTTGCTTCAAAACTTCACTGCTGCTCCAAGCAAAAAATACAGTGTAGCCATAGAAGGCCAAATCCAGAATTTTGCTGTAGTCACATACCATCCTGTGACTATTGCTGCGCAGGCATACTTCAAGTAGGCAGTTCTAAAAATGGATATGACGTCTTATTTACTATCATTGAGGGATGTCATAATTGCCCATCTGGGAATTTCTTAAATTTTGACCTTTAGGTTTGCGGTCTTCGGTTAACTATGAACTTAATAAGCATAATGATGAAACCATGGCACAGGAATTTTGAACAAGATACACCCTGCAAATTCAGCCTAGGTCTTGCTGTCTTGTGATGCATGAAGTTTCATATGAACTTCCAACACCAGTAACAATGCACTGCTATATGACTAATTAATTAAATCAGTCAGGTAATCAAAATGTGATTTGCAGATTAAATACTAGAAATTGTCTTTTGCTACAATTCAATTTTTATTTTTTTTAAATATATGCCAAATTCTGTTCTCAAGTACACAGATACAACTCGTAAGAAAACCAGCTGGAGCTGTACATAAGTAGAAACAATATGTGTTTAAATATTGTAGAAATTTCAGGCTACAATGTTCAAAAAACTGTGTTATTTTCCATACATTTTATTTGACAAGTGAAAAAAAAAGTTTCGAAGTATTATTTTTGGGGTTTTGTTTTATTACTATTTTCCTACTTTTATATGATCATAATTTGGAAAATAATTTGTTTCATATTTTTTTAGAATTAGTTAGTATTTACTATGTTTCAAATTTTTACAGCCGGAATTCCTCTTAGGTGAACCTTTAAAATGTGCTGCAGAGGCAAAATCAGAGTTTCATTGATGACACTACGGTGAAATTTGATAAATTGAGCTATAAATGCCAAGGGATGTCAGAGACAACAGGAAGGGCTTCTGTTAGTGCATAGGAGACAAAAGGAAGACTAGTGAACATCTGGGCCCATTGCTGAATGAGATGGGGGACTTGGTTACACGGGACATGAAAAAGGCTGAAGTACTAAATGCAGCAAGTCAGGACTGCCAGGTCCCAGTGATGAGAGGAAGGGGTTGGAGCAAGGAGGAAGGGGTTGGAGCAAGGAAGGTGTACCCTTGTTGGAAGAGAATCAGGTCAGTGAATACATAAGCAAACTGGACATGAGTAAGTCCATGGGCCCTGATGGGATGCACCCAGGAGTGCTAAAGGATCTGGCAGATGTCATTGCTACGCCACTCTTGATAATCTTTGATTGATCACGTCCATTGGAAGAATACTGTGCTTGAAGACTGGAGGAAAGCAAACGTCACTGCTTCAAGAAGGGCAAAGAGGACCGAGGGAACTAGAGGTTGGTCAGGGTCCCCTCCATCCCTAGGAAGGTGATGGAGCAGCTAATCCAGAAATACATTTCCAGGCATACTAAGGACAAGCAAATCATCAGGAGTAGTCAGCATGGCTTCTTCACCAAGGGGAAGTCTTGCTTGACCAACTTGATAAATTTCTACAATGAAATGACTGGCCTAGCAGATGAGGGGAGAGTAGTGGCTGTTGTCTACCTGGACTACAGTAAGGCCTTTGTCGCTCTCTCCTGTAAGACCTTCATAGAGAAGCTGTTGATGTATGGGTCAGGTGAGCAGTGTAGTGGGTTGAAAGTTGACTGAAGAGCTGAGCCCAGTGGGTGGTGATCACCAGCAAAAAGTCTTAATTGGAGGCCAGTGATTAGCAGTGTGCCCCAGGGGTTAGTACTGGGCGCAGTCCTGTTTAACATCTTCATTAATGACCTGGTCGATGGGGTAGTTTGCTGATGAAGAGAAAAGAATGCTCAGGGGGATCTTATTAATGTATATAAATACCTGAAGGGAGAGTGTAAAGAAGACAGAGACAGGCTCTTCTCAGTGGTGCTTGGTGACAGAACCAGAGGTGATGGGCACAAAGAAACACAGGAGGCTCTGTCTGAGCACAAGGAAACACTTTTTTACTGTGAGGGTGACTGAGCAGTGGTAGAGGTTGCCCAGAGAGGTGGTGGAGTCTCCCATGTTGGAGGAATTCAAAAGCCATCTGGACATGCTTCCTGAGCAACACACTGTAGGAGGCCCTTCATGAGCAGGGAGTTGGACCTGATGAGCTCCAGAGGTCCCGACCAACCTCAATCATCCCGTGATTCAGTGATACACTTCACAGATTTGATCTGGACAAAAAGTAAGGGAAATAAAGTGCTTCTGCTAAACAGTATTTTTCTGATCCATTTTGATTTAAAGGGCTCAAACTATTTAAAACCATGCTTTTGGAATTTATAAATATTAGAATATTGATTTTTGCTTTAAGAGTTCATAAAAACCTTGCTGTTTGTGTGTTTCTGTTCATATTTGTATATAAGATATATATATTAATTATAACTTTTCAATGTTATCTTGAAGCAATTTTGTTTCATAGTAATAAAAATGTTATGCTACTAAATTTATTTCAAATATGGTTCTAACTCAGAGGG